TCAAAGCCTCATCCAACCTGGCCTTGAACCCTTCCAGGGATGGGGCAGCCACAACTTCTCTGGGCAACCTGTTCCAGTGCCTCACCACCCCCAGAGTAAAGAATTTCTTTCTTATATCTAATCTAAATCTCCCCTCTTTCAGTTTAAAGCCATTGCCCCTTGTCCTGTGACTCCATGCCCTTGTAAAAAGTCCCTCTCCAGCTTTCCTGTAGGTTCCTTTCAGGTATTGGAAGGCAGCTACTAGGTCCCCCCGAAGTCTTCTCTTTTCAAGGCTGAACAATCCCAGCTCCCGCCACCTGTCCTCGTAGCAGAGGTTCTCCAGCTCCTGGATCATCTTTGTGGCCCTCCTCTGAACACACTCCAACAAATCTGTGTCTTTCTTATGGTGGGGACACCAGAACTGGACACAGTATTCAAGGTGGGGTCTCACAAGAGCAGAGTAGAGGGGGAGAATCACCTCTCTTGACCTGCTGACCACGCTTCTCTTGATACATCCCAGGATGCGGTTGGCCTTCTGGGCCGCATGAGTGCACTGCCGGCTCATGTTGAGCTTCTCATCTATAAACACCCCCAAATCCTTCTCTTCAGGGCTACTCTCAACCACCCACTCTGTGCCCAGTTTGTATTTGTGCCTAGGATTGGCCCGACACAGGTGAAGGACCTTGCATTTTGACTTGTTGAAGCTCATGCAGTTAGCACTGGCCCATTTCTCAAGCCTATCAGGGTCCCTCTGTATGGCATCTCTTCCCTCAAGTGAGTCCACGGCACCACACAGCTTGGTGTTGTCGGCAAACTTATTGAGGGTGCACTCAATGCCGTCATCCATGTTGCTAACAAAGATGTTGAACAGCACTGGACCCAGAACAGACCCCTGAGGGACACCACTTGACACTGGTCTCCAGGTAGGCATGGAGCCATTGACCACAACTCTTTGAGTGCGACCATCCAGCCAGTTCTTTATCCACCGAGTGGTCCATCTGTCAAATCCGTGCCTCTCCATTTCAAAGACAAGGATGTCATTGGGACAGTGTCAAACGCCTTGCACAAGTCCAGAAAAATGACATCCGTTGCTTTACTCACGTCAACCAGAGCTGTAGCTTTGTTGTAGAGGGCCACTAAATTAGTCAGGCACGACTTGCCCCTATTGAAGCCATGTTGGCTGTCACCAACCACTTGGTTATTTTTTACGTGCCTTAGTACAGCTACCAGGAGAATCTGTTCCATGATTTTACCTGGCACAGAAGTAAGGCTGACTGGTCTGTAGTTTCCTGGGTTGTCCTTGGTCCCTTTTTTAAAGATGGGGGTTATGTTCACCCTTTTCCAATCTGTAGAAACCTCACCAGACTGCCAGGGCCTCTCAAATATGATGGCTAGTGGCCTAGCAACTTCAGCCACCAGTTCCTTCAGGACCTTATAGGGATATCATGCTCCCCTTTCTCCAGGGATTTCCTGTGAACCGTAACACAAGTAACACCTGAGCCATTAACACAATATAGAATCAATATAAGAAAATTAAAATTTCTTCCTTATATCTAATCTATATGTGCAGTGAGATGACCATTAACAGGTCTGATTTAACCCATTTACAAGCACTTATCCTGGGTGAATGGATATTTTAGCATACAGTTTTGCCCTTCGCATGTCTTGGTAGTATATTTGTAATGTGTTATTGAATTTCAGCAGAATTTTTTTTTAATCGCCTCTTTAACGATATATAATTATTGTTGACAGCAAACCAGCTAGAAGAAGCACTTCTAGATTAATTAACAGTCACCTATAATTAAACACTACAGTACTTAGAGATGGAGTGGTCCCTAGATAATATTGCTTTATCTTTAATGAGTGTTTATCATTCTTGTTTGCTTCCACTGCGGCAGTTATCAAAGTTAGTTACAAAATTTCTTAATTAAATGGAAGTACATGGAAGGCACTGCCTCAACAGAAAACAGCTTGAAATATTCATAATTTAGGCATCATCTCAAAGTATGCAGCCTCCTGCCCTATAAATTTTCAGTCACAGTTTACCTTAAGTCATAACTTGACACTGAATAACACTGCGGTGTGTTCTAGGATTGTTCCTGTTCCTTTATCTCTGAAAGATAAGAGTATGTTTTATTAAACGTTTGTCTTCTCCAACATGTAAAGGGCTCAAAAATTCATTTTTAAATGAAAGCTTTGATAAAGGATTTCTGATTCCTGGCTCAGACTTCACTAACATGTCTCTGCATAGTAATTAAGTAAATCTCTTTATTGCACATTTTCAAAGTGTAGTCTGATGCCTAAATTAGATTCCTAATGGAATTAAAGGATCACATTCCTACCAAATTCCATAGGGAGTTTGCTACCTAGGGTGCTCTGAGAAAATAATCTGCGACTTTTGCCAATCCCACACTTTCAGATGTCACCAGAAAGAGCAGATTCCGTTACCCTCAGAAAAATTCCCTA